AAGTTTTTCGTGTATTTTTTAATAAGTGGAGAAAAATTAAGAATGAAATGATTTTTATAAATTTAATTTAGTCTATTTTTATTAAAGGACTTCATTATGTATTTATAATTAGTTTTCATCAATTTATTTACGTTTTTAAAGATTTTCTTCTCTTATTTATTAAATTTGAGTTTTTTAATCTATTTTTAAATATATATAAAAATATAAAAATAAATATATAAAAATATATTATATTAATTTTTATATATAATATAAATAATATATTTTTAAATTTCTATTATAATTATATTTTTAATTTATACATTTATCATAAATTTTTTTTATATTGAAATACTTATATTTATATATATATTTAAGTACACTATTTATATAATTAAGTATTTTTCTGATTTTTTATTTTTTTTTTAAATTATATTTTAAATATGTTTGGGACATTATTTTATATATATATATATACATATATATATATATATATATATATATATATATATATATATATATATAATTTTTTAATTTTTTTTTTAAAATATTACTTATTATTTGTTAAGAAATATCAATTTATTATTTTTTTAATAATTCATTTTTTTAAATTAAATCTTAATTTTCTTTTTTAAAATTAATTAAATTTTACTTAATTTAATCTTATTTTTATTATAAATCTTATAATTCTTCTTTTTATTATTTTATATTTTTATCTAAAATAATTTTTCGGCTTTTTATAAAGGCTTTTCTTTCTTCAGATGTTTAATATTTTTCCCTTTAAATATATTATTCAAGTTTTAGTTATTTTTCACTAATTTCTTTCTGAATTTCTTAAATTTTTTCAATATTTTTTTCAAGTATTTTTTCTTTGTTTTTTTTTCGAGTTAAATTTTTTCTAGTTTTTTTTCGAAATTTTTTAAACTTTTTTCATTTTCTTCTTTTTCGTTTAAAATTTCCTAAATTTTCCCCTTTAAAATATTTACCTTTTCTTTTTCCAAAAAAAGCCTATTTTAAATTTCTTCTTCTTTTTTTATAATTTCCTTTTCGTTTTCATTTAAAAGTTCCAAATTTCCATTTTTTTCGCTTTATTTTTCTTAAATTTTCTCGATTAAATTTTTCTCCTTTTCTAAATTTTCAGAAATTTCCTTTATTTTTTTCCCAATTTAACCTTATTTTTCCTCATATTCTTCTACAATTTTCTAATAAAAAACATATTAAATACTTTCAACTTTCTTCTCGATTTCTAAATTTTATAAATAATTACTTTTCTCACTACTTAATTATTCAACCCTCTCTTCGATTTCCCCTAATAGCAATTCTATATTCCCTTTTTCCTTTTGTACTTTCTAGAATATTTCCTAAGCTTTATTTTCTTTATTTTTGTAAGATTTTACTCCAGAAACATCTTCTAAAAGTGAATAGATCTCCTTATCAGTCATATTACTAATTGATTAAATAGTGTTTTGGGGAACTATATTATATGGGTTTTATCTTTATATGCCTAAACACTCTAAAACATTATTAAATTAGCTTAAGTTTATAATCCGGTCGTCAAGTTTATAAATATTTTCTTTTTCTTCTAATATACGATTTATTAATATCGAATTATCCTTAATAGGTATACGTTTTTCTCTTTCTTTTGTAACATTACTTAATTTTACTTCTACTCTTGGGTCTCCTTCTTTATAATTCTTTTAAACATTGAAAAATATATAAATATATATAATTTATATGTATATATGATGTATATATGTAAATAAATATAAATATATATATATATATATATATATATATATATATATATATATATATATATATATATATATATCTTTTAATAATCTTTAACGATCTTCTTTTTTTATTTCATCAGAAAAAATAAAGATTAATGCTTTTTTTATTAAATATTTAATAATTATATATATATTACATATTTTTAATTAATTACCTTATAATAAATTAGATTTTCCTGAACCATTTTAGCCATATATTATATTCATTTTAGAATGGAAATTATCAATTATTGCATTAGAATAGCTTTTAAATTTTTATATATGAATTTTCTCTATACTCATTTTTTTTATTATTTTTTATTATTATATATTATTGATTAATTTTAAAACCTAAATAAATATTTCAAAATTTAAAAATTAGCAAAAAAATATTATTTTAATAAATATTTATATATATTGGTATAAATACATATATTTATATAAAAAATATATTAATATAAATATTTATAATTATATATATTTATATACATATATAATATATTATTTTTGCTAATATTTTTTTATTATATTATTTTTTATATTTTTTAAAATATATATCTTTGTTGAAAATATTAATTCATCTTTATTTATTAATTTTTACTTTAAATAATCTTCATATAAAATAAGTATTAACTTTTTTTAAAAAAATCTATAAATAAATATGAGTTTATTTAATAATGCATAAACCCCTTCAATTTTTAATAATGCTTAATCTGCAACAACTAATTTATTTGGTTAACCTTAAACATAATAATAACCTTCCGCTTCCATATTTTAAAATTAACCTAAATAAACAGTTCCTGCCTTTGGTTAATAAACAACTACAACAATTCCTGCAGGAGGTTTATTCAATAATTAATAAACAAATCCGCCAGCAGGTGGTATTTTTAATAATCAATAAGCTAACCCTGCTCCAACATAAACAAATCCTATAGGTGGTTTATTCAATTAACCATAAAAATAAGTTTAAACAAATCCCATATAGCCTTAATAATCATAACTTTAATAGTAAACATAATAATAATAGACTTAATAATAATAATAATAACCTTAATAATAATAATAGCCTTAGTAATAATAATAATAATAAGGTATTTATATTTAAAAATTAATTCTATATTTATATAAAATAAGGTTAAAAACTTCCAAATCAATATAATAAAGAAAATGTAATTGGTAAATATATATATATATATATATATATATATATATATATATATATATATATATATATATATATATATATATATAAAATGAATAAATAAAAAAAAGAAAATGAGAAGTTAAATCTTTTATTATAAAGATGGAAAGCTGATTTAAATAAATAATCTTAAGATTTTAATAATATTTTATAAGACGTTGATAAAAGTATGTAAGAGATTGAAAATAGTTTTATTTATGTAAAATAAAATAAATATTATAAATATAAATATATATATATAAATATATATATATATATATATATATATATATATATATATATATACATATATATGTATATATTTTTAGTATGAAAGTATATCTTAAATTAGTAATGATGTAAGTTAATAATTTAGCACAGCATAAACAGAAATATATAATATCTAATAATTCTAAGTAATTATACATATTTTTTTTATTATTTTATTTGTATATAAATTAAAGGTTTAAATAGATTAAAATTTAGACAGTTTAAGAAAATTTTTGGTTGATTTATTATTAAAATAAGGAGATAATATTTAAAATGTATTTGATAATCCTATCTGTGAAAAAATATAGAATATAGACTGCGGTTTATAAGAAATAGAATTGAATATAAATTAAATTATTAGTGAATTAAATCCAATTAATTAAAGAAATTAAAAAAATGATAAAAAAATAATTGATTCATTAAATTCATATTATTCAATTTTAGAAAAGTTAGAATCTGATAGTGTATTATTTTTAAAAAAATATTAAATAAATAATTTTTTTTTTTAAAAAAAAAAAAGAATAACTTAAGACATAAAATGAACTCTATTATGCAAAATTCTTATAATTATAGTAATAATATTTTTTGAAAAAAAAAAGAAAAAAGTTATCTAAAAATTATTTTTAAAAAAATTAAGAAAATCAAAATCCAGAAATTTCTTTAAAATATATATATATAAATATATATATATTGATATATAAAAATATATATATATATATATAAATATATATATTTAAAGTTAATTATATAATTACATATATTAGTATATACAAAATTTATAAAAAACATATCTTAAAATTAATATAAATAATGAGCGCATTAATATTTTCAGGAGGTGCCTTAGCTTTAACAGGTACTATAATAAGTAATCTTTTTTTTACAGTTGATGCTGGTGAGAGAGCCATATTATTCGACAGAGCTTTCGGAGGAATACGAGAGAAGATTTATGGTGAAGGTATGCATTTTTACATTCCAATGTTTTAGAAACCTATAACATTTACAATTCGTTTATAACCAAAAACAATAGCTTCTTAGACAGGAACTAAAGATTTACAGACAGTAGATATTGCATTGAGAATATTATATAGACCAGTAGAGAATTAATTACCAAATATATATTTGAAATTAGGTCTTAACTATGATGAGAGAATATTACCTTCAGTTGGAAAGGAAACATTAAAAAGTGTAATTGCATAATATGACGCAGATTAAATTTTATAAAGCAGAGAAAGAATTTCGTAAGAAATAAGATAATAAATGATCTTAAGTGCTTAAGAATTCAATATTTTATTAGATGATGTGTCTTTTATCCATCTTGGTTTTATGAAAGACTATGCCTATGCAATTGAATAAAAATAAGTCGCCTAATAAAATGTTGAAAAATAAAGATATATTGTATAGAGGGATGAGGAAGATAAATTAGCTTAAATTATTAGATCAGAAGGAGAAGCTGAGGCTGCATAATTAATTAATTAAGCTGTTAAAAAATTCGGTGGAGGTATTTTTATATTTTAATTGATTAAATTTATATATAAATATATATATATAGCTTAGATTGAAATTAAAAGATTAGAAGCAGCCAAATAAATTGCTGAAACTCTATCCAAAAGTTAAAATATTACTTTTGTACCTAGTGGAAGTGAAGGTAAAGGATAAAATCTTTTATTAAATATGAGAGTTTGATAAATATAAATATAAAAAGAAAATATTTATTATTATTAATTTTTTTGTTTTTATTTTATTAAAAAAAAAGTATAATAAATAAAATAAAAATAAAAAAAGATATAATTATAATAATTTAAAAAAAAAAAATTAAAATAATATAATAATTGTTTTTATATATATATTTATATATATAAATATATATATATATATAAATTAATATATATATAAATTAATAATTATTTTTTATTTTAATATTTTTAATAAATTATTAAATAATATAATTTTATTTATTTTTAAGACCTATCTTTAAACTCCTAAAGAACACATACAAAAAATTTTTTTATCAAGAAGAATTTAATTATTTATATGAATTTTTCATATTAATCTTAAATCTATTTAAAATTTTTAAATATAACTAAAATCAATATATGTATAATTATTTTTTGTCATAAATATGTTTGTGAGTATATTTTTAATTTTTTACATACTCATAAGAAATTACTTATTATATAGGTTTTAATAAAAATATTTATTGTATTAATATTATAAATTTATGCATATATATATCTTAGAAATACTTATCTTGAATTAAAATATTATTAATAATTAAAAATTTCAATTGAATAGTAAAAAATTGTAATATAACGAATTAAAAAATATTCTCTTTTATAATTAAAAAGCAGTTTTTTTTATATTAATTTAAATAAAAAAATATTTTTAATTTTAAAATATTAATAAAAACTCAAAATTTATAAAATAATAAAAAAAAAAAAATGTAAAAATATTTAATTAATAAAAAAGTTAAATAATTAATACTAATAATTAAATTAAAAAAAATATATAAAGGTAAATACATAATTTTATTAAAAAAAATTTCATTATATAAATATAAGAATTATTTATATAAAAATAAAGAAAAATACAATTTAATTATAAAAAAATAAAAATTTATAATAAAATAAATCAAAAAAAATTAATTTTTATAAAAAAAATATAAATATTAAAAATAAAAGAAATAAATTATTATTACAAAAAATGAAAAAATTATCATTTTTAAAAAATAATGAAAAAAAATAAAAATCTTTTAAAAAAATTACGAAAATTAAAAATTTTAAATAAAGAAAATGAATTATATAACTATATTTAGATTAATAATATAATAAATATTTATTTATTTTTAAAAAATAAAAATAATTTTGTTATGATTTGAATAAAAAGATGAAGATTTTTTCTCTAGAAAAAAATTTAATTAATATATTATTATTAAAAAAAAAATTAATTAAAATAAGTAAAAATTATATTAAAATAATTTTAAAAAATAATAGAAAACTGAAGATTTTATTTATTAAAAATAAATATATTTAATTTTAGTATAGAAACAAAAAATGAAAAATTTATTAAAGAAAAAATAAAATTTGCAAAGAATAATAAAATAGAAATAATAAAAATATATGTAAATATTATAATAATCTTATAGACATATCAGAATAAAAAAATGAATTAAAACAATAATAAAAAAATATTATGGAATATATATGTATATAAATATATATAAGAAATATATATAAAAGAAAAATGTATATATAAATATATATATATATATATATTATATATATATATATATATTTATATATATTAATATTTGAATTAAAAATAAAAATATTTAATATTATTATTTTTTGTTTATATTTAATTATTATTTGAAACGCTTTTTTATATTTATTTATTGAATTTTAAAAAATAAATAAATATATATTTTATTAAAATATTTATATATATAAATAAAACTACATATATTTATAAATCAATTTACAGATATATCAAAAAAAATATGAAACAAAATAATTTTTATGAAAAATCTTCTTTATTAAAACAGGAAATTTTAAATTTTACTAAAAATTTAGAATAAAATAATAATTTTTCATTAATTTAATAGGAAAATAATCTTTTATTATAATAATTGCAATCCTAAAGTAGTCAATTAAATTCTTTTAAATTTTAAAAATAGCATATTAATAACCAAAATAAGAGTGAACTTTACGAAAAAAACCTTTCATTGAATAATCATCATCATTTAATGTAACATGTAGGTGATATTTTGCAAGATGTAGTATAGAAGTAACAAAATTAGGGTAATAAGAAGTAAGAAATCGAAAAAAACATTTAAGAATTAAAAGAAAAGAACAAAGTATTAGTCGAAAGAATAAATGAATGTCGTTTAGAAGAGAAAAAAAAGGTTAAAAAAGAATAAAAGTTCACAAATTTAAAAATATAAGAAATAAAACTTCCAGACAATAAAAAATTGGGAATTTTTATATCTCCCGAAGAATAAAAGAATGAAATCGAGATTTTAATTCCTCGAAAAGAAGACGAATATACAAAAAATATATTAAAAACAATGACTCATTTAGAAAATAAAGTGGTATAATTAGAACCTGAAAACGAGAACTTAAAATAAAAATGTGAAAATGAAAAAAGGGAAAAAGAAAATCTAGAAAATATGGTAAAAGTACTCGAAAATGACTTAAGACTAGCAGGAGATAATATTGTAAATTTAATGAGATAAGTTGAAAAATTTAAGACTTTATATGAATTATTAGATGATAAGTATTCTTTTTTACTTAAAAAAAAACCAAAAACTGTATTTATTAAAAAATCTAAAACTACATAAAAATTTGTTGAAAAAAAGTATATAAAATTTGTATATATTTATATATATATAGATAAATATATATATATATATATATATATATTATTTATTATATTTTTTTTTTATCTAAGAGTTGAAGTAATTAAGCATTTAGTTGATTAGAAAATTGTTTTTAAAGTTATTTTTTTTTAAAAAAAATAAATAAATTAAATAAAATATTAAAAATAGGAAAACAATAAAATTTAAATTTTAAAAAGTCCACCTGAAATTATTAATAAATTACATGTTATACCTTATGAAAAATAAACTATTAAAAATGTTGATAGGCCTGTTTATATTCCTTAGTAATAAATCGTGGAAGTAAAAGTACCATAAATTGTGGAAAAAGAAATTTTTGTAGATCGACCTGTGTAAACTATAGTTGAAGTACCGAAATATATAGAAACATTTATCGATAGACCTGTATATATAGACAGAATAGTCGAAAAAGTAGTAGAAATTCCATAATATATTGAAAAATTAATAGAAATTCCAGTATATTAAGATCGTATAATAGATAAAATAATCGAAATACCAAAGTATATCGAGAAGATAATTGAAAAGCCTATTATTTAAGAAAAAATAAAAGAAAAAATAGTAAAATAACCTCAATATATTGAAAAAATAATACATGTTCCATAAATATAAGAAAAAATAGTAGAAATACCCTATATAAATGAATAGCATTTTTATCATTAATACAATTTACAATATATATAAAATTTATAAAGGGAAAACATGGAATTAAAGTAAAAACTTTATGGGAATATAAAATAAGATTCAATTTCTACATAGGGATATTCTTAATAAATATATTAATGAATATAAATATATATATATATATATATATTATATATTTTCATTAATATATAATAATTTTATTATTTAATAAAATTTTTTGTTATCTCTTACAAAAAAATAATATTATTATTATATCAAAATATTTTTTTTTTTTTTATATTTTATAAAATTTCATTTATATAAATTTATTATCATTTTCCATTTTAAAATATTTATATTTTTAATTTAGTGAATTTATATTAATTTTTTTGTTTTATTTTCTTAATAAATTTTATATTTTTTTTATTAAAAATTGTTAATAAATATATATTAATATTTTTTTATTTATATTATTTTATTTATTATATCGGAAAAATATATTATTTATAAAAAACATTATAAATTTTTAAAAAATCTTTTAATTATTTTATCTAATTCAATTTATTTTTCATTCATAATTGTCAATATTTTTTTATGATTTTTAATATTTAAAAACTTTATATTAATTATCTTAAAATTCTTTTTATCTTTTTTTTTTTAATCCATTTTTATACAAAATTGCGGATTGCTATTTATAAAAATAAATATTAATAGAAAGATTTATTGATTTATATAAATAAATATATACATATAAATATATATATATATGTATTTTTTTTTATTTTTACATGTTTTGAATATTTATAATTTTTTTAATATATAGTCGAAGGTCTATTTTATATATCAAAATTATTTATTATAGAAGGATTTTTCCAAAACTAACTGCATTTCTATTTATCTGTTTTATGAATTTATTAAACATTTAGTTCTATCTATTATTACCTGCATTGTTTTAATAATTTCTTTAGTTTTTAATAAATTAAACTAAGCTTTGTTCATTTATTTTCTATTATATATTAATTTATTATTAATCTTCAATAGATGAACATGCGTTGCAAAGTATATTTCCCATAAAATAGAAATATATTAATTTTTAAATAAAAATTAAAAATTTATTTATATATATTTTTAAATAAAATTAATTAAATACATTATATTAAATATTTTATATTTAATTTTTAAAATTATTATTTTTTTTTTTTTCTTAAATTTTAAATTAATAAAGAAAACATTTTATTTGTATAATATACACTTGCTAAAATTCTTTTATTAAATTAACAAAATATTAAATATAGATTTTTTTAATTTTTTATTTTAATTATTTTTTTTTTATATATAATATAATTTACTCATTTATTTATATAAAAATTAATTTTGTATATATAATGTATATATGAAATAATTATATAGGTTTTTATGACATATATAATGTATATATTCAAATTTATAATAATTTATATAACTAGTTTTATATTAGTAATTATATTATTTCTATAAATATTAATTAACCTATTTTATTTATTTTAATATTTTATTAATATATAAAATATATATTTTTTTTTTTTTATAATTGTAATTGAGTAATGTTATATTATCATTTTCAATTATATATGTTATTTTTATATTTTATATTTTTATTATTTAGATTGATTTTTTGTATTATTACAAATAAATATATTTTTAATATTCCATTTTTTTATAATCAGAAAAATTTTATTTTTAAAAAAAAATCGAGAATTTTTTTTTTATTTTTAATTATCAAAATATTATTTTATTTACATAATAATAAAAATAAATTGTAAACATTGAATTAATAAAAATATTTAAATTTATTTTATATGTAATGAAATAAAGAGTATTTTAATAAAATAAAAATAAAAATCATATTTAATTTTTTTTTTTTTTTCTATTATTGAATTTAAAATATAATAACATTTATAAAATTTAAAAAATCATAAATGTCAAAAAATACTGATTTCTACGTAAAGGAATGTGAACTTAAATATTTAAATTATGAACATGTAGATGAAGCTGCTAACCTAATATATGATTCTTTCAAAAAATAAAATCCTTTATGGTAATCAATAGAATCGACTAAAGAAGAAGTAGTACCAATAATAAAGTATAGAATATATCCTTCTATAAAAACAATGACTTCAGTTGTTTTAATACATAAAAACAAAATAATAGGGACTAATATAAATGTAGATTTCGTAGATTATTAGGAATAATATAAAGCTAATATTAAATTGCCTAAAATATTCTAAGACACAGTTTGTTATCATATTTAAATGATGGAAGGGATAATCAATTAAAAATTTGAAAGAGGAAAAGTTCTTTTTGCTCATTATTCAGCTATTGATTCTTAATTTACTGCCTAAAATATTTATAGTTAAATGGTTATTGAGGCTTACGGAAGATTTATTATTTAGGGATATACATTTATGTATGGAGTATAAACACACCCTGTCACAAGAAGACATGGGAATGTTTCACCTAATTTTAAGTTGATTAAATAAATAAAATTTGATGATAAGAATAGTCCTTTATATGGAAATTAAATGGATTTCGGCTTATGGTCTATATATCCTGAATATTTAAAATTATGATTGATATTTTAAAAATAATTTTAATATTATAAAATAACAAAAAAAATATGTAATTTTTTATAAATTTAAATATTGATTATATATTTTTTTTATTTTAAATTTACATATATATTTTCATATTTAATTTTAAAAATTATTTTTTTTTTTCCTTCAAATATTTTTCTTTAATGAGTTTTTTTAAATTTCTTATAAACCGCAAAAATAAGCCGAAAATAAAATTAAAAGAAAAGTTCCTCCTCCTATAAAAACAACAAATTTAACCTTTTTTTGTGTTTTGTTTCATTGTTTATAAAAAAATAAATAAATAAATAAATAAAAAATACAGGTCCCCCAAAAAAAAGATAATGCTTTCACATAAAGCTTCGAACATTTCACCAATACTTAAATTTTCATCAGTAAAAAGTTCTTAATTAACTTGGATTTATTCCCCATATGCATTTAGATATTCACCATTTAAAAATTTATGAAGATTCTCTATATTTCTTTCTTAATTAAAAACATAGACCATATTCTAATTTGAAAATAATAAAATGCTTGTTTAGCCACTATAAGGCATTTAATTACATATTCTTCGGTTTTATGTACATTCTACTGTGAAAAATATTAAGTTATTTTCATTTTTATGTGTATTTATGTAATCTTCAATAAAATTTGATTGCTCTTTTGTCCATGGGAAATAAAAAAACCTAAACTGAGGTTTTATATTTTGTTTGTGCCGATTTTTGTTGTTTAAGTGAAGTTTTAATAAGAAAGATTAAGTAAATTTTGACAGTTTGATGAATATAAAAAATAAATTAAAGAAATAATTGTTTTTAACATTTTTTTTTTTTGATAATCTTTTTATATTATTTAATATGATTTTTATAATTTTATCCTGTATTTGTTTTTGTTTTTGTTTTTGTTTTTTTTTTTATATAAGAAATGAAATAAGTCAGTTTTTTTTTATATTTTTTTATTTATTTTTTTTTTAAAAAAAAAAAAAAAAATTGAAAATTTAATTTTTTAGTTGATTTTAAAAAATAACCTCCAAAAAACAAAAAATTAAAAAAAGAAAAAAAAGAAAAAATAAAATTATATTAATTTAAAATATAAAAAAATAAAAAAAAAAAAATATTAAAATAAAATAAAAAAAAAAAAAATGAGTACCAAATAATAAAACTTCGGTTAAATTTAATTAATATATGGTCCTATGTTTAGTGGAAAAACTTCCGAACTTCTTAGAATAGTAAAAAGATACTCTTATGCTAAAAAAAAATGTCTTGTAGTTAATTATATAAAAGATAATCGTTATACAGAAAGTACTTCTATATGTACACACGATAAGTAATTTTATATATGAAAAAAAAAATATATATATATATATATTTAAAAATATTTATTTAGAATAACTTTAGATAATAATAATTCCTATATATAAACATAAAAATGTTTAAAATTACAAGAAATAATGGAGAAATATGAAATGTTTGACGTAATAGCTATAGATGAAGGCTAATTTTTCTAAGATGTAATAAAATAATTTATTTCATTTATTTATTTACTTATAATTATTTTAATATAAACAATATAGATTGATGAAAAATGCGACTTTTTTGCAAATAATGGAAAAATAGTCTTAGTAGCAGCTTTAGATGCAACTTTTTAAAGAAAAGTTTTTTTTTTTATTATATATATATATATTTTTAATATAAATAAAGCCTTTTAATAATATTTTAAATTTGGTTTGTATATCTGAATCTGTAACTAAATTAACTGCTGTTTGTGTTTCTTGTGGAGGTAATGCTTCTTTTACAAAAAGAAAAATTAAATGCGATTAAATTGAACTTATTGGAAGTAGTGAAATATATGAACCTGTCTGTAGAACTTGCTTTTATAATAATGAATATGATGGTAATACTTAAGAGTAAATATATTTGTATTTTTATTATTTTAATACTTTTTTATAGTTCTTTAAATAGTGCTGAATCTAATAAAAGTAAAAAAATTTAGGAAGTAATAGCTCTATTGATAATTCTTTAGATTAATAAAAAGAAAATGTTTTATAAAAATTTTGTAATTTTTTTAAATTAATTATAGATAAACTATTATTGTTTTTTTTTTTTGTTATTTAGAAAAAAATAAAAATATATTATTAAATTTTTCTAAATAATTGTGATATGTATATAAATATATATATATATAAATAAATAAATATATAAATATAAATAATAAATTAAATAATGTTTTTTTTATTTTTTAATTATTAAATAAATAAAAACATTATTAATATATATTTAAAAATAAAAAATATTAAAAGATTTTAAAAATAATAATATATTATTTTTAAATTAAAAAAAAATTGTTCCATTTAAAATAAATTATTTGAAAAATTAAAAATAACAAAAAATATATATAATAAATTTACAAATAAAAATTAAAATAAAAAATAAAATAAAATAAAATAAAATAAAATAAAATTAAAATTTATTAATAAATTAATATATACATATTTATTAATTTTACAATTCTTTTTAATTTATAATATTTTACAATAGAGATCACATAATTTATATTTTAATATATATAAATAAAATAATTATTCATAAATAAATAAATTTCCTAAATTTTAAAATGAATTTAAATATTTATTAATATAATTATTAATATTCTAAAAAAATATCTAAAATAATATATTTTTAAAATAAATATCTTTAATTAATTTTCTAAAATAAATTTTATAATATCCTTATTTTTCTAATTAAATAATAATTAAAAAAAAATATTTATTAAATAAATTAATAATACTTAAATTTGATTAAAATTTAATCCTAATTTTAACAAAAAAAAAAAATTTACAAAAAATAAAATTTATAATATTTATATAAAAAAAGAAACTATTGCAAAACTAATAATTTTTGCTTTTAGAATATCTCTTGATTAATGTTAAAATAATATTAGTTTCTAATATAGAAATTAACTTATTTTTAATTATATTATTATACTAAATTATTAATTTATATTATTAATAAATGTTATTTATAATATAAATAATTAAATATTAATTCTAAGATTGATTATTAATCTTAATTTCTAAATATTTATTTTAGTTTTAAATAGAATTATACAATTTTTATTGAATTTATACACATACACATATTAAATATTTAATCATTTTTAATTTTTAATTTACAATTTTAGTATAAATTAATTATTCAAATAAATGTATAAAATTTAGTCAAGTGATTCATTCAAGAAATAAAAATTTTAATTAAGATATATATTAATATAAAGATTATAATTATTAAACTAATTATTTATTATATATTTATTACGAATATATAATAATAAATATATCTTTAAGTTATATATAAAAATAAATAATTTATAATATAATGTACTATTTAATAATTTTTTAGATAATATAAAAAATGATTTTTTTATAATAATAAATATCTATATTCTTTTATTTTCATAATCTTTTTTTACCTACAAAAATCCTTTTCTTGTATAAATAGTTTATAATAGAAATATAATATAAGTTAAATAATATTTAAAAACTTCATTATATATATATATATATATTGATAAAAGTATAAAATTTTAGAATACAAAAAAACAATTAATATTAACGTTATAAAAATTAATAAATAGACATTAATTTTATTAATCTTAAAATATAAAGAAATAACTATTTTTAAAATAAAAACATATGAAAAAACATGAATAGTCTTTTTTTTAAAAAAAATATTATAATGAAATATATATTAATAATTTAAATATGATATCTTATTTTAATATTAAATAAAACATATAAATATATTAATTTCATGTTTCTTTAATATATTCACTTTCAATATTAGCTTAATTTTTTAAATAAGTAAAAGAGGATTTATTTTTGTGCGATTTAATATATTAGATATATATTTTTGTGTTTTTATTATTGTTAGTATTTAATTGTTTCTTTTTAAGTATTTAA